TTAAACTGCTTTCTTTTTTATTAAGTTCTTCATTTCAATGGGGTATCCGGCCGAGGTTTGCTAGTTTAGCTGATGATCAGTCATTTGATTTTGTATGGGGAGTTAATTTCTGGTTTGCATAAGCAAGTGAAATTAGCATAATTAACCTTATCTTATCTTAGCGTGTGTGAGATACACAATCCTAGTTTGGTTAAGATAAAGACAAATTTGTCCCTGAGCTTATTTCTCCCAAAATGAACAAAGTAGACGACATCCTTTATATTCTGTAGAGTTTTTGATAGAATTCTCTTCAGAGCACTCACTCAACAGCCATTTTTTGCAGGGTTTTGCTGAAGCGTTTGCTGGGACATCCCTTACGCCACATTAATTTGCTTCTATTTAAGTTTGTGTGAGTGACGGAGGGTGACTGCGAGATGTTTGAGTGAACGTGGTGAATAACACACAGGAAAAAGAGAGCAGCAGGTGTTTGACTCATCGTTGCCCCAGCTCCTGCAGACGACAATGTGATGGAATGGCTTTGATTTACAGTTTACAACTCCAGCACCTCTTCTCACTCGGCTCAGGCACAGCCATCATACTCTAGCCTAGCGTCCTGCTCTGGAAGCAGCAGGACTGGATAACAGAACCACTGCACTGTTGGGACACCACTGTGGATTTGCCTTCATTGCTATCACGGCCATAGGGGGGTGCTGCTGAACTTTTTTAATATTGGTTGTAAAGCCATACACTGAATCTTGCTGCTGACCACGCTTTAAGCAATGCTTCACAGCTCAACATGCAAGTTAATACCCTGACCTCTCCTGTAGGCATACACAGGCACAACAAGTGCCTCTTCACTATTGTGTAAATACCAAAAAAAAAGCTTGATGAATGCAGAATTAGTAGAAGGGGAGGCCTGCAGCTTTGTAGTGTTTGATTTGCAGCTTTATTATGGTTACCTTGCTTCTCTGTGTATTTGAATGTGATCAACAGTCACGAATGTCACACTGATGCTGGTGTAACAAGATTTTCCTTTGCTTGTTGCTGTTAGCTGAGGCTCAGAGGACAATGAAAAAAAAAAAGCAATCTTTAAGGGGAGGACATTGTCCTGGTAGACAGTCTCAACCCCCCCCCCCCCTTTGCAAGACTTTACATCGTAACGGGTGATACCTGCTACAATATGGTAGCTTATAACATTTGCAACTATAATGTGCCAGTAAACATTTTTACTGAATAAACCTCTGAGTGTTTGTCTCTTTTTTTATGCTGTAAAAACGACATACAATCTCCACCTGCTCCGCCTCAACACAGTTCACTGCAACATACAATATGGCCAAAAACTATGTTAAGATAAAACCTTTCAAATCTGTTGATATTGATTGTCATCATGAGACATGTCAATGATAACTACTGTTTCTGTCCTTTGCTCCTGAGTGAAAGTTGTGGGTTGAAACTAACATTTGATGAACAAAACTCATTTGATGAAAATGATATTGTTTATATAGCATTGAGGACATAAAGATATGTATCTGATACTCAAAGATTGGATTTTATTTTATTTAAGGTGATGATTTGACCATTTTAGGGAAGAGAAACAAACTGCAAACCACCATTACAACATTTCGGGCCTAGAAATAGCAATGAGGCAACTGCAGAGGGTGATAACAGAAGTATATGTATCACTACACTATGTGACTCTGGACCCTTGACTTCTGTATTTCTGTAACCCTGCGTATGACCCTAACTTGATCACTTTGTCAGTGAGCTTTTCTTTTAGGCTTTTGTTACTAATTCCTGGGAATGTATTATGTTCAAAAGTGCTTCATGAATATTGAATAAAAGA